CCTCCGCTCGTTCTTCGGTTTGGTCAACCAATGCAGCGACTTCACACCGCGCATTGCTGAACTAAGTGAGTCGCTTCGCCCACTCCTGAAAACCAGCAATGAGTTCGCCTGGGATCAGCAGCACACCATAGCATTCGAAGCCGTCAACGCCATCCTGACTGAGTCACCAGTGTTAGCTTTCTTCCAACCTGGCAAGCCTCTTCGTCTTGAGACTGATGCATCTGTGAAGAATGGCCTCGGATTTGCCCTATGGCAACAGCATGATGACGAGCAATGGCACCTCATCCAGTGTGGAAGTCGTTTCTTATCTGATGCTGAAACAAGGTATACTGTTATCGAGCTTGAGTGCCTCGCAGTCGTCTGGGCAGTGCACAAGTGCCGCTTGTATCTATCTGGTGCACCGTTCTCACTAATCACCGACCATCGTCCGCTTGTACCGATTATCAACAGCTACACCCTTGACCAGATTGAGAACTCTCGTCTACTCAGATTGATCATGAAACTTCGTCCGTATCAAGTGAAAGCATCGTGGAGTAAGGGCTCAGAGCACGTATTTGCAGACGCCCTCTCACGATATCCTGTAGCAATCCCGACTAGTTATGATGAACTTGGAGAAGTTCCAGCACTGTCCTGCCGTAGTATCCGTATCTGTCTACTCCAAGATGGTCTCCAGAGTCTCCAGTTCGCTAAGCTCCGTGCCGCAGCAGCATCTGATCCTGACTACCAGATGCTACTCGGGTATATCCAGAACGGATTCCCCTCAGCACAAAAGCAGCTGACCGAGCCTCTTCGTGCGTATTGGAACGTGCGTGAACATTTGTCCACCGACAATGGCATAGTCCTGAAAGGTCTACGCATAGTCGTCCCAGCCTCTCTGCGTGCGTCAACGCTGATCGCCCTTCACGGAGCCCACCAAGGTCTGACCCGTACCAAACGACATGCTTGTCAGACAGTTTATTGGCCCGGAATGAACAGTGAGTTAGACGTGCTAGTCCGCAGCTGTGATGCATGCCGTGAATTTCAGCCGTCTCAGTCTGCTGAATCGCCCATTTCTGACCGCAAGCCCACTTTGCCATTCGAAAGCGTTAGTGCTGACCTTTTCAGTTGCCAAGTTTGCGAGTATTTGGTATTCGTCGACCGTTTAACCGGATGGCCATGCATAGCTAAGCTTGGTCACTCAGCCACGTCAGCTGACGTCATCCGTCATTTCCGCAGGTGGTTCCGAGATGTAGGCGTACCACAGGTCATTTCAACAGACGGCGTTCCTCAGTTTGCGTCTCACAGATTTGCTGAATTTTGCAAGCGCTGGGGAATCCGTCATATCAAGTCGTCCCCTCACTACCTGCAGTCGAACAGACATGCGAAAGCAGCCGTGAAGGCAATGAAGTACCTGGTGGGACTACCAACGACGGTAATCTAGACACCGACGCTTTTCAGCGTGGCCTTCTCGAGTGGCGCAATACTCCTGGCACTTCAGGAAAGAGTCCTGCCCAGTCACTGTATGGTCGCCCACTTGTCTCCTTCGTTCTCGCCCAATGGAGCCAGTTCGACTCCCACTGGCAAGACACCGCACCTGGCATGGATGACGTTGATTGAGTAGACCAGTTTCCCAGTCAGCCCCACCGAGAACTTCCCCACCTGTCTATCGGGACGCACGTTGACATTCAGCACCCGAAGACAAAACGGTGGTCTTCCCACGGCGTTGTCGTGGCTATCGGTGACCACCGCGACTATTACGTCAAGCTACCGAGTGGACGCGAATATTGGCGCAACCGTCGCTACCCTGCCCGTAACGTCCTCCTACTCCAGCTTCAACAGCCATGCCTGCATCGTCTCCCGTACCCGACGCTGCACCACAAGCAGTCCTGTGACTCAGTCGTCGCCACAGTCAACTGTTCAGGTACCACCTCGAACAAGCCAATGTCTCCGGCGACAGAATGTCCTCTTTAACATTATTTCAACGTGTGGACAATTGTGCAATTAACACTTGCTCTGGTCAGTGTTGATTTCCATTGTACCTATTCAATCGTCATTCCTATTGTCTCGCAGTTGAAAACCTTCATGTATATAATTTTGCAATTATCCCTTTTACAAGTCTGTTGGAAGTTGCTGCTGCTCAGCGACATGTCATTTGCTACGCACATGCAATTTTCACATTATTTTTTGTTGATTAGATAAACACTTGCACGTTTTTTTATCTTAGGAGGGGCATGATATATTATGGCATACTTCCGTATATGGTGCACCTCCCGCACCCTGTATGCACGCGCCTAGAGCCCCTGCTTCCATATGCGTTCGTACACACTTTCCTTTTGTGTTTGTACACAATTCCCTTTTGTGTTCGCACACTGCTTGGAATGTAGTTCTTCGTTTGTTGTCCTCCTTGCTTGTTGTGAATAAACTCTGTCTGACACCACACCGCTTAGCCACGCCAGGATCCCAGAAGACGAGGTCCATCACCCCCTGATGCCACAAATGATCGTCTTGAAAATAGCCAATTTACAAGCGCTGGCAAAACAGCCAGCTACGTCCTCAATTGGCCAGAACTATACACCGGCAGATAGTAGAACACCTCTTCTAGCGCTGAGGACATGTCTCTCATCTTCCTTTTGGGGTTTTCTTGAAATAAACTTTTTTGAATTTTCCCACTCGACCATGCTGAAATACGGCCAAAGTCATACCTGCGCAGGAAAGCTCCCCCCCCCCCCCCCCCCCCGCGACGTCTCCTCAGTAATTTCTACTCCAACACTACTCCCAAGGCCGCAGAACAAAGTGTATTGTTGACTCTGACAAGGGAAAGCAGCGGTGATGTCACTCCAAACGACAAGTTTCTCCTTGCGCCACCAATAATGTTTGTGCGACTGTTGACGCAAAAGTGACTGAAGGTAACTTGCTGAGGACCCCGTGGGAAGTTCTTCCCTATTACAGCGGACGATAAAAAGTGGGTTTGGCTGCCCTCGTGGCTTTACAAACATGATTTGGGTTTTTCTCTTGTTAAAGGGGAAGTTAAGGCAAAAATTAAAATTTCACCAGTTGTAGTCTTCGGGGTGCTGAGTCGAATGGTCGTGGTCCGAGGAAGCTGAGACGCTCCCTTCCTACTTGAATCCCAATCGAACTCGCGCACTTCCACCGAAACTGGGTGACTGCGCCCTACGAGATGGGGATTTGTATGCAAAATGTCACTAAAAGCGCCATTTCGTTCTTATAAAAGCACGGATGACCGCGATTGGCCCATATGTTGTAGTCTTTTGGACGCTGAGTCAACTGGTTTTGGTCCGAAAAGGCTGCGATGCGGCGTTCCTCCTTTATTCCCAATCGAACATGGTTGAAGAAGCGGTCACGTGCTCCTGCGTACACCAGTCACCTGGTCACCGTGCCTGCAGGGTACAACTTACTAGCCTGTTTGACCTTTTTTGGGTGCAGTCCTGTCACTCGAGTTGAACTCGAGTTGAACCTTGGTGTGAAAGTTGTCACCTGCTGGCGTGGTGATCAGGCGATTTGGGCACCCAGGACCACGTGATCGCTTCTTCAACCATGTTCGATTGGGAATAAAGGAGGAACGCTGCATCGCAGCCTTTTCGGACCAAAACCAGTCGACTCAGCGTCCAAAAGACTACAACATATGGGCCAATCGCGGTCATCCGTGCTTTTATAAGAACGAAATGGCGCTTTTAGTGACATTTTGCATACAAATCCCCATCTAGTAGGGCGCAGTCACCCAGTTTCGGTGGAAGTGCGCGAGTTCGATTGGGATTCAAGTAGGAAGGGAGCGTATCAGCTTCCTCGGACCAAGACCATTCGACTCAGCACCCCGAAGACTACAACTGGTGAAATTTTAATTTTTGCCTTAACTTCCCCTTTAAAGAGGAGCCCGATTTCCTCCAGCCATTTAATGAGCTTGGTGATGCCCTCGAAGAGAGACTGAACAACGAAAAATGGGTCTGAGTGTGAATGGTCAAGGATGATGTCCTCGGCAAACTTCTGATAGATAATGGCGGGCAGAACTTTATTTATAGCGTGTATGTACAAAACAAGAAGCCGACCGATGTCACTTCCTTGTGGCACACCTCTGCTGCCGGACACTTCAGGAGACAGCTTTCTGTCATCTTTTATCCGGTGGCGACTACCCGACAAGTAGCTGATGAAACAATCCAAGATGATACCATAAAAATCTAGTGAATGCAGTTCTGTAATGAGGCATCGGTGTTGGACAGCTTGGACTCCGTCGATTGCTTTCGATATGTCAATCATGACAATGTCAGTAGTTCACGTCTGGAACTGTGCGTCCTTCCATCGGTCCACTGCTCGTACAAGCGCATCCTCCGTCGAGTGACTGAAGCGGTATGCAAATTGCGTGCTAGGGAGCAAGCCTTTCTCGTTGGGGTATTTTTTCAGTTGGTCCTTGGCAATTTTCTCTGCAGCCTAGTTCACATTCGACGCAACGCTGACGGTACAGGACGTACGGGCCTGTCGGGACGGTTGGGATGAGCGATAAAATTTTGTACGATTCAACAGCAAACGGCGCGAGTCATAAGGCACAGTCCGTGAAGGGGTGACATTCGTACCTATTAATTTCTTAATTTTCAGGACTTCTTTTCAATTATTTCCCTAATAGTGAAGCGGAATCAAGTTCGCAATACCCGTTTTTCATGAATACCAAAAGCATAGCCTGAAAGTTGTGCCATTCAAATATTAGCCCCAGGAAGTGATAAAACAGTTTGTCTGTCACTCTCTTGAACGGTTAGCCATTCTGCGAGTTATCATGGAAAGCGCCATGTGCGATATGTTAAAATTTCCAAGTACGAATCGGGAGTTGTTAGATAGTTCGCAGAGCAAATTCATGTGCATGTGTACTGAATGGCAGAGGAACGGCTCTACAACCGCTGGCGGACCAGTTAGTCTCTCTGGCTCTGTTATGAACCACGAATATTTCTCTGCAGATCTGATGTTATGCCATTGTCTATCGTGTTTCACTGCACATGTTCGTTTTAATCGTTCAGTCAAGTCACCACCCGGATCAACACCTGGATCAACAACTGGATCAACACGTGAATCCTGCACGACAACTAGCGGTATGTACAATCTCAAATGAATTGAGCAAAGCAAGTTGTACAAGTACAGTCAACGTCGCTAATAACGACTGCGGATATAACGACAATTAGCGAATAGCAACAGAATTTCCATGCCCAGAGCAAAGTCCCATCCCACTGTAATAGTACATTATAATGAGACTTCGGGTATAACGACACTTCGCGAATAAGGACACCTTTTTGGTGCCCCGCCGCCGAGTGTCGTTATAAGCAAAGTTGACCGTAGTACTCACTTCTTTTAAAATATCGTGAAGGAGACCAAAAGCCGTAGTATTGAAATGAAAACAAGTATTGAAATCAACTATTCAATGCTGTGAGGGAAACACACAAACGGGAAAAGTCTGAAGATAAAATTGACTGCCACCAGACTGACCACGAGGATTCGAACCATGGATCTTCGCTTGAAGCCAGCGATTCTCTAACCACTGAGCTAAGATGTAGCCGTCATCAGAGCAGAGACCGGTGAACACTTTCTTCAGACTACGTAACTCGCACTTCCTGTGAATCCACTCTGGTGGGTGGACACTGTAACTTGGGACTCTCCGCGTCTTAGTTTATACGTGAAGTGTGTGCGTTACAGTGAATTATTGTTTGGGCAAAACAAAAGAATAGTTATACCAATGTATAATGATGTAGGTAGCATGCATAGTACTTTGCAGCATCTGTAAAATACTGATAAAACAAGTGAAACTCGATCCAAGCACCTTTCAAAAATTATTTTTTATTTTTCAATTTTGTCAGAGGCTTCAGCCCTCCGGCAACTGGACCTCGCTGGAGGTAGCGGCACATAAGTCGGTCGATGCACCCTTGTAATACGTACACTTCTGCGCAATGCGCCAGAGTTCAAACCAGACGGTCTAGCCGATCCACGCACCGCCAGGGCTGTTTTCTTGATCAAGTCGGGGAAGCAACACATCCGGACTTGGCACAGCAGGCGCAGTGTGTGTCTGACGCAGAATATCACCAACCCCGCAATCAGTGCCGCCCACTGGCACCACATCATCCATGGAAAGAACAGGCGTGCCAGACTACTCTTTCCCGCCATAGCTGTACAATAGTGTGAGTGCGAGTGCTGTGTAATAGTGTGAGTGCGAGTGTGAGTGCGAGTGCTTCATCGCGGCTGTCACGTGCCAGCTTACTCTTATTAGGCTACGGCCTGTTAGCGCAATTTGCACCTGCAATTCATCTTTAAAATATCAATGATGCAGACAGCCAGACTGTTTCGGCCAATGAGGCCTCATCAGTGCAACTCCGAGCTTAAAATACCTTTAAAATATCATTAATGTTCTAATAACAATGTCGAATCTAACAACACTGTCCTTCTGTGCGTGCTGAACGGGTACAAGCTGAGCATATGAACGGCTGCTGTAACTCTGCCTTGGGCCATACGTTTGCCAAACTGCCGTGGTCGATCATCATCAAAACGATCCCTATGACCAGTTCCACCCTATAAGTCGCGCTGGATCGTGTCGCTCTCGTCGAGGAGCTCGGTGAAATTTCCATCTTTCCATAACCCAAGAGAGCGTTTCAAGTGTTTACCACAATGCTTGGCTGCAGTGGAACACACTACGTGTTATAGTGATAAAGAGGGTAGTTTGAAGAACCTATACAAGGAATAACCATACATTCCCTGAGATGTAATGAGTTTTTTTAAATTCCGTAGTGGGCACCCGAACAAAAATCTTGCTTGGAAGCCCCATTGCGCAGATCAAGAAGATTGTGTTGCCATCGAATAACCTTGTTATAGGCACCTATGACAGTACCGCATGGTAGGGCTGGAGGGTGTACCTTCCTTTGAGGGCATTGAGACAGGTGCATTATCCGACCCTTTAGGAAGGCCTTCACTATGCGGTAAGTCAACACAAAGAGGCAGCCGGGAACATTCAAAACCAGGCAAAGCGCATCCACTGCCATTTTTGTGTGGTTCTCAGATATCGGTCAACATCCTGGGGAAACCGATCATAATAAATATTATCTTCCTTATTGGCCTCGGGCCATCGTAGACATATAGAATACTCTATTTTATAAGTTGGCGGAAGGCGTGTATGCATCACCATTTTGCTAGGTGTGTTCTCTTCAACTCGAGCGCAAGATATGGACACAGCATGTTCAGATTTTCCATGCAGTTCCCATGACATATTTGTTTCATTTCCAAAGCTATACATTGGAATGGAAAACCATTGATCATAGAACTGTGTCCAGGCATCCAAAAATTGAGTTTAGAATGCATGTAGAGAATCTGTAGATGTTGGATCGTACAATGTGCTGTGTTCTCTCACCTACAGCGGAAAATCAGACGTCATACACACTTGGGACTGTGATCGGCGGTGTTATCGCTGGAATCTTTATCGGGATAATAGCAATGATGGTGGTGGCCATAATAGCAAATCGGAAGATGCAAAGCAAACCCGTCAAGACCGACGTTCCAGGTCAGACGCAAAATGCAGCATATGAAGGCGCTGATATTGCGGAGAGTTCCCTCACCAAAAGTGATGCTTATGGTGTTGTTGAATCCTCCGCGGAACCAGAGTATGAATTTGTTTGCCCGTAGTAACTCACTGATTGTGCGCATTTCAACATTTTCTGTAGTTTGGTGAGCTTCTCTGCGTTCTTTGCCTATTGTTTTGCCTTAGCACAATTAATCTCAATATACTGCATGCGGGTATCGTTCATTGTCTAGTAGGATTGCTTTACTTTGGAATGCTCTGCCCTTTGAAATGAAGGCTTGTAATACGTCTTCTGCATTTAACGCCCATCTTGCCTGCCTTCTTAATGACGGGCCACAATGTACCCGGTTAAAACAGCTCCTTTTTTGAAATTTTTTTCAATGAGTGATGTGTCGCTTTGTTTTGCTTTAATTGGTGCTTTTCTCCAATGTCATGCAGTCGTATTTATTCAGCTTTTATTTCTTGTGTACTTGCATACTGGTATTAGTTTAGTCCCACAACCTGCGATAACATGATCAGCTGTAGCGCCTACTCCACTTTTATGTTTATGTATCTATGTCATTCGGATCTTCCCAAGTTGTACATTGTACTGTTGAGATACCGAATTCAAATAAATCAATCCCAAAAAAATACCAACATACATTCTTGCATTTCTACTCCGTCGCAACGATTTTCTTAATCAGTTTTTTTGCAATTCCTCAGTTTGGTGTTTAGTTTTAATCGTTTTATTCAAAGCAATACATGGCTGGGGTAGCCAATGAACACTTTGCGTGGTGACTGCAGGGTTTTTATAACCACAACGTACTCTCCACCGACTCCTTTATTCTCATGCTATCTTTAGATTACGTTCCTCTGTGAGTGTGCTCCCAACGAATTCAGGAATTGAATTTCAACCGTGGCTTTTTCCTTGCTGCTCAAAAGAGTTAATTTCAAATATATGCCTTCAACTCACGTTGTCCTCAGCGGAGAACACAACTCACCCCAAAGCTAGGCTCATCACACTCCCACAACTGCCCCCAAACAAAAACTCGCCATTATTCACGTTAACGCTTTTTCCAGGGTTATTGGCGGTACTTAAAATGTAGATTGTTTTCCATCAAGTAACTTGTAATGTTTGTTTGTTTGTTTCTTTTATTTGAATTCGTTTAGAGCACAGGCAATTCTGCCTTCTCACCAGAGGAAAAACCTCCGGTTCCTGCTAAGAACGAATATAATATATTAAGAGAAAAGGAAAAAAAAGGAAAAAAAAAAAGATAATTCCAAAGCACAAAGTATGTACAGTGGTCCCTCTATAATCCGGCACCATTTGTGCCACGAAAATCTGCTGGATTAGGGAGGGTGCTGGATTAACAAATCTGATTTACTGCTGCAATGTGCATGAAGAGGACATTTTGGCTACTGAAAATTGTGCTGGTTTATCGAGGGTGCTGGATTATAAAGTGCCGGATTAGAGAGGGACGACTGTATATAATTCATATGGGTGTGTGTATGTGTAAGCATGCAGTGAAGAACACACAGAGAAAACATGCAGTAATGTGTATGCAAGGAAGGAGCGCGAATAACACTGGTTACAAATCTTTGTATTCTTGCTACAACACGCCTTATCCTGCCCGACATGAGGTTGTCCTGCTATTCGGCACAACGAGCTGCGAGACGTCACTGCTAGGCTCCTGGATGATCGGGAGGATTCCGTTCCAACCTGGCCTGAAGCCTTCTGTCGAACTGGGCACAGTCAATACTGGAAATTCCCGGCGTTCTAACGAGGCGATAGGTATGCTCAGGTGGGGGGGGGGGGGTCCAGTCTGCTAACTGAAGTACCACTTTGACTAGGTGGCCATCAGTAGCATCATGCAGGGACGTGGCGGATACATGGCCGACTGTTAGGACATCTTCAGTACTAGGGCTAAGTCGAGACAGGTGTTGGACGGGGTTCGTGTAACCACATTAACGACATTCGACAAACAGTGGCTGGAGCAAAGCTCTTGCAGGTGGGTGTAGTTGTGTGATCGGGGCTTTGTAGTGGAGCCGGGTCTCCAACCGTTATCCGGAGAGCGGTTTCGCCATCATACCGCAATCCGAGAGGACGGCGCTCGCCTTGTTGTTGCGGCCAGCGGAATGTGGGGTGGCCGGTTTGAGCGAGCCTATTTTGATGTTCCGGTGTTCAACCCTTTGGCTAGCTCAAATCAGGCTCACTCTCTCTCCGCTACATACTCCAAGCACGAAGGTGAGAAGCGCCGACAATACGAGGAGCGTGTGCGGGAGGTCGAACATGCAGTGTTTGTACCACTCGTGTTCAGCGCCACTGGAGGGCAGGGAAAGGCCGCTAGTGCACTTTACAAGCACCTTGCCACAATGCTTTGCGAGAAGCGGAAGGAGCCGTATTGGGTCATGAATCATTGTATCAGGTGTCGGCTTGGCTTTGCGCTGATTCGCTCGACCATTGCGTGCCTCAGAGGTCACCGCGGTCGCCCTCACACTGTACCATCGACGGGCTCCGCGTCGCTGATGGTCTCAGAGTGCTGCTTGCCTGGCTACCGGTAACCTTGGACATCCTGCATGGCACATTCATGTAGCCATAGTTCTCAACATTCTTGTCACGTGATCTTCAGTTGAGCTTGTCGTACACATTGTAGCTATACCTGTAGTATTTTCCTGCACGACAAGAATTCTTGTTTATTTTGCCCGTAGAAAAGGCTTTTGACTAGGGTCCAGCGGATACTGCTCCGAAAATGTTCGTATAATGCTTATCAAAATGCTCTAACAACTACCTTGTAATGCTGATTATAATGCTTCAACAAGGGCTATAATGCTCTTGGTTTGGAACAAAAATGGCAGAAAGGCTGCACATTGTCAAACTTCCAGGAAAGGACGCATTTAGTCGATCTGCCTCTGAAGCTGCTACAATATCTCTCATGAGCTCCACCACTTCTTAGCACTATACGGCTGGATCGAGTCTCCATTGGTTGCTCTGGATTGCAACTTTGATGCAGGGCTGTGGCTGAATAGTGGGTGTATCGAATCTTTCCCTTGCTTATCCATGTAGTGAGAGGTAAAACCATTATTGCTGGTGGCCATTTGGATGCTGGAAGCATATCATGGGAAGTGGTGTTCCTGCCTGCAGACAATATGTCACTGCATCCACTCTGTGAAAAACGCCAGTCTTCATCTGAAACAGCTCACGTGAAGCCAGTCGACAGGCGATCTCAGATTGAGATCCCTCCCATTTGCGGAAGTCCTGAAACCACATGGTCAGAAGTTGTTTTGCCGCTCTACATCCTCTGCTTGCGCTGTCTTCTTCTCCTGAGGTTGCGTGGAGACAAATGGTTGGCCACAATACTTTTCTTTTCTGATAGCACTTGACTGTAGGCCTTGCATTACAATCGTCCATGACGAACTGTACGTGCTTCACCAGGAAAGTAAGACAGGCGCTGCTGAGCACTCAAATCGACTTGGTAATGCGTCCATGAGAAATTCTAGTTATTTTCGAGCCTGCTGATTTAGACTCGGCAAAGGCAGTTATTTTGGGACAAGCTCTTTCTGTATATAGCCGCTCCTTCATCCAGGTCCGAATTTATCAATAGATGAGTGTTTTCTTCAGTATCGCTAGAGATATGCTATGGCCAGAGCCTATGGCATAACAGGAAAACACCTCTTCGTCTCTTTGATATTCACTTCGCGGACGTCCAGTCTCTTCCATGGCTCTCCATGATTTCTAAAAAAGAACTCCTCGTAAATCATCGTTCCGGATATTGTGTAACAGCCTCAGTTGCAACGTTGGGCATGCTACATCACCTGTACATTTACCTGACTACATTGCTACATAAAGACTTTATGTAGCAATGGCATTACATGTATGAAGTCAGGTAAATGTAGCATTACCGCTAAATGTGTTACGTGTCTACAAATCACAAAGGTATGTGCCGGTACAATACATGGCGTTGCACCTCATGGCTTTAGCCGATTGTTGCCAAAAACCTTATATTTCCCGACATTATCCACTATGAAACTCGTTACGCCGCTCAAACCTCACATAATGCTCGCCTTGTTCCTTGCTAATGCTCCATAATGCTCTGATGCTCGGATAGTCTCATAATGCCAAATATAATGCGGCATTATCCGCTGGACCCTACTTTTGACGGACAAAAAAAAGAAGAAAAAAAACTAAAAACTAAATCAACACTTACCATGTGCATAAATTGTGACCAGGGAGCCGGAGTCGTATTTTACGACTCCCTGATTGTGACATGCGATTGTTCTATTCTCTGACAGGGAGTACCTGCATGTTAGGCGATGACGCCTGTTGGGAATTTCCTAGTAAAATAAGAATAAAAATAAATAAAATGTACATGTGCTGCGCTATCATGCACATGTACATGCGTTGAATCTTTCCGGAGTCCGGACTGTATATTGTCGTCTGTAGACCAGTCTGTGCTGCATGCGCACTCCTCCTACTGACTGTGCGCGTGCGTGCGTGGCGGTCTACTGTCATGTTCGAGCAAATCACCGCAACACCATTCATGCGCAGGCAAAGCGCCGTGGGCGCTGCCATCCAACGCCGCGTCGTTTCGTGAGTCGTGTGGGTGTTGTTGAGTGAATTCAGTTGAATTGGTTTCGGCGCACTGTGCTCTGTAGTTTGTTTGCCTGGCCGCCTAGCTTCGTCGCAACTACCAGACACTCGCTCAGTTGATTGCTAGCAGATTACTCGCGCAAGCATCATCATGAAGGTTTGGATCGCTGCCCTGTGCGGAGCACTGCTAGTGCACAGCACCGCTGCCTTCGGCTTCTACCAGCCACGAGTTCCGAATGCCGGCGACCGAGCCGCTAACGTGTCGTCACGCGTACCTGCACCATACGGTATCTCGAACACGTAAGTCAGACTCTTTAAAGCTTTGTGACTAGTCTAGTTGGACGGTTATGCCTGCAGGTGTATCTTGTCCCATCCTCTTTAGACGCCAGCCCTGGTAGAAATGGTATTTCCTTTAAAATAACTTCCTACGAAGCTGGATCATTATAATCAGAGTCCAAACGTCGGCACAATCCTCAAACTAGTTTTAGCAGTGCAGGCGCGTCGGAAGGTATTTTAGTGTGGTACGGTCAGCCATCTGAAGTACAATTTACTCGCGGAGGAGTGGTGGCTGAGCCGAAAATTTTGGAATTTTAGATCCAAGATCAGTGTATTTTGTTGATTTACGGGGTATCTGGGGCAAAAAATGGTACGGTCAATACCGTAGTGACCGTACCGTGTGCGACGCCCCTGCAGTGGTCGAGCGAGATGTATCCCTGCTCGAAGTCGATAAAAGTCGCTACAAAGTGCTCACGTTATAGCAAACTTTGGCGATTGGCGAATGTTCAGAGACGGACTTTATGCCCGAGTTGTGATAGTAGTGTAGTAGCAGTATTAGTGGCAATGTGCTTTGCCGGAGCGACAATGCCAACAATCTAGGCGTGATCTTGCCTGCGACTGAGTCACTCGGCCCATTGCGGACTTTGAACGTGTGCGCGCAACGTGACACCAAGATCTAACTGTAAAAAGCTCACAGTGACATTTTGGCGCCAGGCTTTGCGATGTCTGAAACGGTAGCGCACGTTGAGTGTATCGCCTTGCATACCTGTATACCGTTACAATGGAATGATAATGGTGTAGCTGTAGCCTTGTGTAGGTTTTGATGAGTAGAATGCCTTCGGTTGACATCTCTCACGTCGCCACTCGCAGGCCTGGCATGCCGGCAGACTATGGTGACACAACTATTCTGGTATTAGTTAGTCACAACAACAATATTCTCCTACCCCTTCAACACTGCCTGTGCAGTCAGCAGGAGAAGAATGTGTCATGACGCGACGCCGGTTGCACGCTGCACAGCAAGTACAGTGACACCTGTCTAAGACGACTTCTCAAGGGACTTTCAAAGCGTGGAGATGGTCTCCTTATCCAGGGTCAATTGACTGGAAATAGCATCCCTTGGTCCTGGTTCCAGTGGTCGTCTAGTCGCCTTATCCGAGTGGTCGCCTTATCCGAGTGGTCGCCTTGACAGGTTTTACTGTACTGTGATGGCAACTGAAATCCGACCCCAGACACTGCAAACGCCCAGCAAGTGCTTGTACATGTACAATACTCGCGAAAAAAATCCGGTCAATGCTTATGGTAAGCGACTACGATGCATGCAGCATTGGCCGGATTTCTTGGCAAATATTGTAAGTTGTTACACTACGAAATACATGAAGAGACTGCTAACATCGGTGCTGCACACGAGCACGAACATGAAAGGTCGGATTTCAGCTGCCACCACCGTACTGACCGTACTGACCGGGCTGATTGTGCGCGACACGTCGGCAGTAGTCTATATTCAGCGCGGCGGGGATGCGGAGCCTGCCAGCCTTCCTGCCATTGGTTTTCTCAGCCAGTGCACTGGTGGTGGGATGGGGAAATTAATTACTTGCCACCAGCCTTTACAAGCAACTGGTACAGTAATTTAAAGCCCATCACGCAAGCAGAGAACTCTACAATAATAATTGTCACCTGATGATTGCATTGAGCAAGAAACTCCGAGTTGCGACAACTCTGAAAAACTCCATTGTGCCTTTTGTGTACAATAAAAATAATTGTCATGTAGTTGTTTTGTCCATACTTCAAGTTCAAGTACAAGGAATTTTTCGATGAAGTGAAAGGTATATGTGTAGTATCCCTGCCCGACCAATACGGAAGCAGTACGGAACTAATACGGAGCTTGCCTGATGTATATTTAGTGTATCTCCGTATGTAAGCGTACGTCGTCTGCTGCATAAAAGCGGCTGCGCATTTCTGTTTTGATGAAGATTAGATTAGATTGGATAGCAATGAAAGCTAACTCGAAGAATAAGGATTCATCCTCTAGGTGAGCACCGGAGAGAAAGTTATAGGTACACACCTGAGATATAATCGTTAGTGAAAGAAGAAGCGGCAAAATATATATAAAAACTCCATTGTGCCTTTTGTGTGCAATAAAAATAATTGTCATGTAGTTGTTTTGTCCTTACTTCAAGTTCAAGTACAAGGAATTTTTCGATGAAGTGAAAGGTATATGTACCAGGGTATGCCGGTATGAAATAATGCAAAAGATGACCAACAGGAGCAGGACGACTGTCATAATAAGATGACCAAAATGATAAAGTCTACTACATGTACATGTACATGTAGTTGCCACTGGCTTCCCACTGCCTCCGCCTTGTCTTTGCATGTACGGTTGTACCTTTAGACAATGTGTCTGGGGTCCTTGCTGCAAATACCGGTACTAAAATAATGATCAATACCAGGGCGTCGTAAAATACCGTATTTTACGACAATAATCAATACCCTGTGAGTAATAGGAGTGTAATATAAGTGTCATGGCTGAGGTATAATGCTACAACCAAGATGGGAGAAAGAACCGGCAAAAGAAGTACATTGTAAGATACCGCCCTGCAATGGATGGTCAGCTACCTCACCCATCGCCGTCAACGTGTTCGTGTCGGCGACGCCTTCAGTGAGTGGCAAGCCATACCAGCAGGGGTGCCCCAAGGATCCGTTCTAGGCCCCCTGCTGTTCTTGATCTACACCATTGACCTGCCCTCTGCCTGCACTAACTCGAACACAAAGTGCAGCCAATTTGCAGATGACACGGCGCTCATCGCAACACACCAGAGCCGTTTGACATCGGAGTTGTCCCTGCAGTCAGCCGTTTCAGCTGCCGCAACCTGGCTGCGCAGATGGCACCTCCTCGTCAATGCCTCAAAGACCGTTACCTTGTCGTTCACACCAAACCACCAACTCAACATCACTCTTAATGGCACACCCCTAAAGCAAGTCAAAGAACACCGTCACCTTGGAATCATACTACAAAACAACCTCCAATGGAACTCACATGTCACGCACATAATAAACAAATCCAAAAAACTCCTTCACCAACTTCGTAAAACACGAGGCCAACTTAACACCCCCAGTCTGCTCGTAATCTACACCGCCTACATTCGCCCGGTTATAGAGTACGGCAGTCTCGTGTTATCCAACACCACCCGCACACAGAAGGACCAATTAGAACGCGTTCAGCGACGAGCAGCCCGTATCTGCCTGCGGATCCCCCTTTTTGCACCAGTCCATCACAGCTCACTTCTTCATCATCTCCAACTCCCCACATTAGTCTCCCGGCAACTCTTACGACAGGTTACTCTTGCCCACAACATCAAGTACATCCGCGCTCCCCTTCACCTGCAACAGCCTCACCTTGCACGACCAATCACAGAGCAGCCATATGCACTACGACACATGAGAACATACACATTGAGAACATCACACACATACCGACACACCAACTCACCCATCAACCTATCCCTTCACAATTTCAACCAACTACCCCCCGACCTGCGTGAAACAAATAGCAAGCATGCGTTTAAATCAATGGCGTCTAGCCTCATTCTATCATCCATATGCTCCTGTAGTAGCTCACACTGTACCCCATCGTGACCCCATCCCCCTGCAATGTGTTGGTTTCCTTACTTGCTAGACCGATTTTATATGATTCTGGACTGATTTGAATCATATTATCTTCCTTATTGGCCATGAGCCATCGTGGAAATAAAGAATAATAATAAAAAAAAGGTTTCAGCGGGAATTGTCCTTGTGGTCCTTCAATGTGATGAAGGCATTCGCCTTGGGTATAACACCTCCATCCGGTCGTGGAACTCGTGTATGTGACATTAGCAACATCGGGAGTAGCTCAGTCAGGGACACATTTGTGTACGGTCAGCATGGAAAGTTTGGAAACGTTGATCCGCTACATTTTAATGGGCCGCGGACTAATGTCCGTATCAATGTCCCTAACGTCGATCCGCTACATCTTTGGCTATCACCCCTCTCTCATTCAATAATATTGGCATTGCTTGCCACGAGATGACGATGCAATAAATAAATAAATAAATAAATAATCGTTATGGGCCGTGGATCAATGTCCCAATTATTGTCGTAGTTCACACCAGTTGTCGATTGTAGCAAGTGCAGCATCCCATGGCAGCGGTCTAAAGGAACAGTAATGACGTCGTACAGAAATAAACAGCAAAAGTAGCAATACTTTGTGCCTCGGGTATACGTAGGAAAACCAACACGGGCAGTCGAGGGAGCTCGAAGCAGAGCCCTCAATGCACACAGTCAAAATAAATGTGCAGAGCAGCATGCACATACAACTGAGGCGAAAGGCTGTGCAGGTGTAACTAACGTCTAAGTTTCATGCATTTCAGCGATCATCACGCAGCGGCATGCACCCTTCCAACGTTCTTTGTGTCCTTGGTGTTTGCCGAACTTGTGTTCGTCTATTCGCCTTCTCTTGTGTGTACAATGTACCTTGAAATACCTTGTTCCAGTGGAGATCTCCGCTTAGTCGTGTTTAATACGTAAAATAAAAAATAAAATAAAAAAACGTCCACCAGAATATTGGACAATCGTCTCTACTTTCCCTTTGTCTAGTCCACGCTGCGTTCCTGTCATCCACCTCCTGCATTTTACTTGCTTGCTTGTGCGTGTGTGTATGTCCTGTGTGCGTGTGTTTGTGTGCATGCGTATGTGTTTGTGCACGCACGCACGTGCGCGTGTTGTGTATGTCCGTGTGTTCGTGTGTTGCTTTTGGCTGGCCACAGATTCTGTGATTCCGTGGGACACGTGGCTAGCTGCACCGGGCCACCATCCGGCAAAGGTACGAACAATACTGCTGTAGTCTCGAAGTCTGAAGAAAATGTTGAGCGGTCTCTGTTTGGATGACAGCTACACCATAGCTCAGTGGTTAGACTTAGAGCATCGCTGGCCTTGAGCGCAGGTCACTGGTTCCAGTCCTGGTGGCAACAGGCTATTTTTTATTCAGACTTTTCCGTTTTCCGTTTTCCATTCCCTCAACGATATTATTTACTGCACAAGTACAAATTTTCGTTTGGAATTAACTTTCGCTATATTCGTTTGGATCAAGGCGCAGATGCAGCTCCTAAGCGGTGGGAGGTGAGTAGATCAGACCCACCACAAAGTGGTCAAAGACCGAAATCCCATTCACTGCATCCATGTTTCCCTCGTGCCAGGCCACGAGTTCCCAATTAACTGTGGGTCGCAGCACGGCTGGAAAAAATCCTTCCGCTTCCAAGCAGGACTTGAACCTGGTACCCTCTGTTTCTCAATCATGGTCTTAGACCATCCCACTATGAGGGTGGTGGCGTTCCTGCGGATGCGGAAAACTGGGCCTTTGGCCGAGTCTCACGCGAACCGTGAAATTTGTTTATATATATTTTTTTAGTGCAATTAGGAGTATAATCGATGCAGACATGGCCAGACAACAGCTTGTTGTCTGGCCATGTCTGCATCGATTATACTCCTAATTGCACTAATAAAATTGCTTTCTCCACGCCGACTCTTTAAATATATTTTTTATATTCGTTTAATAGGCTATTGGGGCACAAAATAACTAAAGTGTGTACCAAACTAAAGTTTTTCTCTGAACGTTTGGGTGACAGACCTCGACCAAAACCGAAATTTAGTACGTAACAGGCCTGCTGGTGGAGTGAAATAACGAAAGATTTCGTGGACGAAAACTTGTACTGTAAAAGCCATTATTCTAACGAGGCGCATATATAACCATTTCCCAAAATTGACTAGTTTACGTGTACCAAAGGTAACGAGTCTACTAACGACTCTCACTCATCTTCAACGTTCAATAGGACAGTATACGCATCGATTTCTGTATAACGATTTCTATTTTGACGACAGATTTCTCCTCGTTAATTCGTTAGAGTTAGCACTTCGTTATAATTACATGTATGACTTTTACAGTATTTATACAGTAGTTATTTTCTCTTTCAAAACTGGCTGATCAGTGATGCATCTCGTCACGTGACGCTGGCCCTGCAGACACGGTCGCGTGTTTCGGGTGTTCGCACCCGGCAATAGATTGCATATATTCCTATTTTTACTAGGGAATTCCCAACAGGCGTTGACGACGCCTTTTTACAGGGAACCCTAGAACTAGTTCGCTGGAGCTGGTGGACTAGACATGCAGCAAGTCGGTGGAAGTGCGTTCCACCTGGCAGCGCCTAGGTGCGAAATCGCACTGAAGCCATATCTGGTGTTAGCAGAGGGCAGAACAAGAGCAGCTGGGACTTGGCCACGGATGGTGGCTGCCAGTGTGGGCACCATGGGCGCGCAAGGTAAAGCGATCTCGCAGAAGAGGACTTGCAAGTCCTAGGGATAGGTAATGGACATTAACAAAAATCCAAAAAATAAACCATTGCACGCCAAGGACAGATGCCCCACCTAGGCTAGCTAGAGTGGTTTCACATCTTTGTCACGTGACTAAATTTGTGCGGCAGGTGAGCATGGTGTCAATTATTGGTGATCATGTGGACAGTGGAACCGACATGACGGACATCGTGTGACCCATACACATGATACATGCAGGGGTTGAGTGGGGTTAGAACCAACGTTGCTGTCCCATAATGTGTCAGGTGATAGATGTGAAACCACCGTATTGCAACTGCTAGTATGAAGGTAGTGCAAACCGTGCCGAGAATGCTGCACAGTTTCTCCTCACACTTACCAATGATAATAATAATTATTGAGAACCCTACTGCTCAGTTTTCGTTCACTATGCTCCGGGAAAATTGCTTCCCCTAGGACTCTGTTGTTGTTGTTGCTGATGTTGCTGACGTTGTTGCTGGTGTTGTTGTCTTCATTGCCACGGTCATCATCGTCATGATTGTTGACAGGAAACCCTTTTGGCAAGGCCTTCCATACCATTGGAGGAATATGGAACGAGACGATCTGCATGGCGGACAGTGACGGTGATGGCGTTGCTAACGGAGCGGAGCTTGGAGACCCCAACTGCACCTTTATACAGGGTAGCACGCCATTAATCACCACTGGCATTAGCCACCCAGGTAAGCCATTGGTCTTATTCATATACATGACTTTGTACTACTGTGGTATGTAAAGGAAAAATAAAGTAAAAATAAAGCAAAAAATTAAATAGAGACTTAGTCCGAGGGAAACATATCAGCACATGAAGAGACGAGGGCACGAAGCTAGTTGAAAATCTGATAAGGCCTTTCGTACCATTACTCTTCAAAATCAGTACATGGTGATAGTGTGACGAAGCACAGCGATGTCAATTTATACAGCATATTGGCGGAAAAACTGTGATGAAACGTACACAGGCTGAGTGATAGTGTGAGTTGCGCCAAAGAGTACACGCACTATAACAGGGAGGTGGGAAGTCAAAATAGCTCTAGCTTCCTAACAAACTCCTTCTGTCTACACAGCTCAGGTTGTAGCTTGGCAATGTAAACAGCCTCTAGCACATCTAGGTGACATTTGCTGCTCGCCCGCGCGCGCGTGAATCTTGAAGTGCTCTGGAACATTCTTACATACTGCATTCAGGCAAGAAGGGGACATGATCAGATGTGTAGTTATTGCAGAATCATTTTTCACAGCTGATGGGTTGTGTGAATCACGCTGGTTGGGTTCACACTTACTAGTACTCGGGATAGGGTTAGTCTGCGCTACCTGATCCGATGGGCTCCTGGTCGGTGTCCGTGCAACTCATGGCGTTGTTGTAGTAGCCGAGTACTGCGGCGAGCGCTGATTGTAGTCTGCACCTTCTTGGAGCCGACACGCTGTATGATGGTTGAAGCGGTGACAGTTGGCTTTGTCAGGGCTGTTGCCAGTGCCTTCTGCTTGGGCGGTCTTCCTCTCCTGGGTTTGACGTAGTCGACACCTGGTGTTGCGGCCATGACTAGTCTTGGCGGAATATGCTGCGACATGCGATCACCTAGGCATTGGGTTGTCTTGCCAATGTGCCTGTGGCCACACTCACAGGTAAATAGATATAATTACTTGACTTTGCTAATATTAGTTATCGACAAGACAAGACAAGGCTCCGGGACGGAACCTGCGCTGGTGTGAGGCAAGCCAACAACGCGTTACCGCGAGCTAGCACACTATGAGAGTCTAGGGCTTTGATTGAGATACTCGAGGTACCTGGTTCAAATCCTGCCTGGGAGCGGGTTTTCCAGCCGTGCTGCTGCCCACAGTCAATTGGGAACAACTTGTGGCCAGGCACAAGGGGTACATGGATACAGCTACTGGGGTTTCTCGGCACTTGTGCCAGTGGTTGTGAGGCTTTTTTCCCATTACCCCTACCATTAGACGCTGCATCTGCGGCTAGATTTACCGGGTGTCAGCGGCCATCGTGAGTTCCCTTTGGGAACGAACACGATCATTTACTTTTTTATTTTATATAATTACGCACCTGGAACTGTTGCATGCTCATTTCAGCTGCTGAGTGTGAACACCCTCCAACTGTAAAATTGCTAAAAAAAACACGTTCGTCCAAAACCTGTGGAGATGTTATGGTTTTGGGGAATTTGGGTCACGTCTGCGCACCTTGAAAACTGCCTTATGAATCAAGGGCGTGGGAAGATATTCGACATTGGTGCGATGATGAGGGGGGGGGGGGGGGGGGTTAGTCCTCTTTTTTTTTGAAAATTCGGGCCGAATAGCCTATGGTTTATTGCTTGGAAAATCACGATATGAAATTATTGTTGCTGCTTTGGTCGCACCTTCGGCACCAGTTCTGATGCCCCTGTAAATGCCCTATGTTTTTCAGACATTCCCCTTTCCAATTCACTCTGAGATTTATGAATGTCCTATGTTTGGTGTTCTTGTCGCAGGATTTGCCTGCTCAACAGCTGCCGATCCATTCTGCTTGTCTTCCCGTAAGTGACCTCAGCTCGCTCCCAGGAAATGACGAAACTCTTTTCTACAGTCCATTCAGAAAAAGATGGACTCCTAGCTTTTGGCCATAAATGGGTCAGACTTTGAGTTTTTTTAGAATTTTTTTGGCAATCCCCTATGGAATCCTCTTCCGAATATGTTTCTGAAGTTTTTTTGTCCAAAAAGCAAGCCATAGCTAGAAAAAGATTTCGGCCAGGTTTTGCCCCAAAAAGCACTGAATTGGGAAAAACCATCAAAAATCCAGGCCGTTTGACCCCGCCTGCAACAGTGCATTCTGCGGTTCGAACCCCAGTTCAGGCACCCTTTTTGGACACTTTTTCAAATTTCAAAGTTCACAGCACTGCACTGTGTACGATGAAATCACGAAAAATCGCGGGAGCTCGCCAGAGCCAGGGCCCATCTTTTTTATGAATGGACTGTAAACACGGTTGCATGTTCTGCTATCGACAACTTCCATTGAACTTCGCACGAGAACTTCATTAACTCCAATGAAGTGAATATTATAATTCTAATCAGAATATTAACTGAAGGCTTGTTCCAGGTACTGCAAACCCAGAAATCTTTGCGATCCTTAAACGTTCGCGATTTTCGCGACGGTTGTGAAATCGATCGAAACAGCTCTGTAGATTGCATACTTATAAAGATTATTACGTTGCAATTACGTTGTAACGATACTTCTAATGGATTTGTGTGAAATGCAGTGCTCTCTTGAGTGTAGGCAGGTTGCCTGCAAACGATTCAAGTATAATGAAGATGCGTGAAGCGTCCTTCAAAATTTTTATAAAGATTATTATTATGATTATTATACTTACGCACATGTGTGCCAGTTTTGAATGTACATGTGTTTTGTATTTCTGTGCCTGTCTGGGTTTTGTATTCCAATGCAGCGGTCTCACAATTCAGTAAGGGTTCCGTG